AGGTGAAGCAGAGCTGGATGAATCCTGTATTCTGAGAACATTTTAACCAGCCATTCTAATCAACCAGCTTCAACTAACTCTTCAACACGTTCGTCAGTTTTCTTCTCAGGTTCATAGACAAACAAAAGCTGATGTGCTCGTGCTGGGCTGGGCTGCGCTAGGCTGGGCATGACCATCATGCATTGCGTCGTGAACAGCTGTCTGTTTCACCATCTTACAATCAACTGGAATTCTAACAACATAAGGTAAGACTAGTTTTTGTTTGACTATAAACAGCCATTATTAAATACAGGTTCTGTTCCAGCTGCTGTTTTTATACTGAAAGCACTGACAGTACAGCTGGATTACAGTGAGGAGTTACAGATTAATAATCAAATGTAGTTTTGTACTGAGTTTATATTTCTCATTTATCAGAAAACGATGCATTCATTTTTCTAATTGCACAGTAAACTCTCTTAATGCTCTGTATATGTGTACATTGTTTTGAACTCTTTTTCCTCATATGAAGTTGTGCTCCTGCTAGTAAGAACTCTAAATAACATTACAATAAATACAAATAAAGTTTCTAAAATATTGGTTAGAAGAATACTACAGTTAGATGAACTCCAGATTTTCTCACTAAACTCCAGTCATTGTAAGGATTTAATCAATTCCATCTTCATCACCTGATTTAATGTAATGAAGGACTGATCAGCTGAAGCAGGTATTGGATGGTAACTGTAAATACTTGACTTCCTTCAGGAGAGATTTACAAATAGTTAATTCAGCACACTTTGTTCACCTTGGCCATTTAATTATGTATTTATCATACTGTTAGTGTATTTTTAAATTCATTATTCACCATTAAAGTGATCGAAGAGAAGATAATCTCTAATCTCTAATGTATTCTTTTCTAAAGAACTTCAATTTCATTGTCCTGATTAAAAAGTTTGAGATACACTGAGGCCTCATTTTAAGCTCAACCCACCACTTCCGTTTTAATGTGTGAGTGTGGGGGGCTGCTGACTACTGTCACTGTGACTAAAGGGCAACCACAGACATAAAGCACTGTACAAAACTCAAAGACCACACTTTATTTATTTAAGTTCGAGTCAACCCAGCCATTAAGTACCATTAACCATTAGTTATTTTTATTTCAGGAGATAATTCTGAGGAGATTAGATATCAGATAATCCACTTACATAAAGAAAGGGTGAAGGGGCAAGTGGAAGAATAAAAAATAGGAATTTCCAAAACTGTTCAAAAAGAAAAAGACATAGAGAAAAAGGGTCTTTTAACAAGACCTGGTAGACCACCAAAACTGTGCCTATCAGATAAACAGCATGTAAAGCTTTCATCTTTGAGAGAGAGGAAAAAATCAAGTTCCACTCATTCTTGGAAAAAAACACAGGTAGTTGTCAACACTGAGTCTGAAAGGATGTGTAGCTGTTAAGAAGCTGTTACTGAGAAAAGGAAATAGACAAAGAAGAAGAAAAAAAGTCAAAAGGAGCTGCTAGTGTGTGTATGTATATATATATATATATATATATATATATATATATATATATATATATATACATACACACACACAACATTTGGCATGTGAGAGTTGGGGACTGCTAAAATATATTTATATGTAATTTCATCATGCTGTTTAGTTTATTTACAGCAAAAGTTTGAGGTGTGTAGGCCTGCTTGCTTTCCTCTAACAAACCACCACTGCTTCCTGCGTGGCTCTCTCTGTGTGTATAAATGTGCATATGTTAAATTTTATTTCAAAAAACAGTTTTAAGCAGATCTGTTACCTTCATGTTCCCTGTTCTATTCTTTACTTTGAACTTCTCTGCTCAAAGGAGAATGATGATGAACACAAGAGCCCTTCCAAAATTTCTTTGACCTCAAAAATAAAAAAAAACTGAATTGACAATATGTGTTTCCTTTCACACTTTCTCTTAATGTAATCACACGTTACCCACGAGTCCCCCCCATTTCCTTTTCACCTGCGATATGTGAAGTCACAGAATGTTTGAGTGCATTTTGACAATAATAAGAGCTTTTACAGTGCTGTGAAAATGACAGAGACTCTCTCTCCTGCTCTGCATATGAGCAGACAGCAGGTCACTGTTCAGCCTGAGTGCTGCTGCCTTAAGTTGGTTTCATTGTTCGAGTACAGCAATATGCGCACCATGTATTCACCCAAATATAGAGCATTGTTTGGGTTTACTGCAGCTTTTTTGTTTGTTTACCATCATCATTATAATATCACGTCTTTGTTATGAGCTACAGAATTATTGCATAGTTTGTTCTAGGAGTATTAAAATGTGTTAAAAATAAATGAATGAAGTGAACAGAATGAATGCACAGAAGGTTTGAGTGGTTCTCAATGGTGCTGTTTATTTTCATGATTTTGTCTTTCTTAACTGACTTTAACGTCGCTGGTCTAAGCAAATAATAAAGATGTGTTCCCAACGAGTTTAAGTAGATACATCTCTGACAAAGACTTTTTGCAGGTTCTACTACTGTTTCAACTCTTACAATATCTGCATCAGTAAAAGCAGAAAGAATCACATCATTAAACAAACAAGTTTGAAACGGGTCTTACATTTACTATCATTTACAGGATCACAAAGTTTACACTGCTTGTCTTTCTATTCAGAAACTCATCATGGATACAGCACAAGTACAGCAATGGAGTAAATGTTCTAAACAACAGGTCACTGGTACAAGTTAGTGAATAAAGCAATCAACAAAAAGCATTTAAAAATGTGTCAGTGAATAAACTGATGGTAAAATACAGAGTTACATCCTTTTAGCTGAATACACCACCAATGTGCACTGGTCTTCTGTCACTCCAACACCGCCTTTCTGTAAAACACAGCGGCATATTTTAGTAGTCTTTTAAGTATTGTTGAGGCAATAAGCATACTTCTTATTCCTAAATCTAGATGTATTTGGCTGTCTTAATTACATTCCATAAGCTTGGTATTAATGCCAGCACTTATTAACCCCTTAAAGGCTTTACCATATTAAGGCCTATTATTCAGTAAATAGAGAGCTGAGTTATTCTTAGGTTGTAGAAGTGTGTAATAAAATGTTGTCTACATGTCTACGATTTTCTATACAATTAAAAAAGAGTGCATTTGAATATTTTGAATATTTTGCATATTTTACATCCTTTGCATATTTTGTGTTATAAAACGTTTTGAAAGTTAGTCAGCCCAAGTTTTACTACAGACAGATATGTGAATATATAATCATGATAACTTTCCAGTCTTACATTGACCCTATTCCATTTTTTGGAATGTGATGCAGGCATCAATTTGGAAATTATATTTACAAAAATAATAAATAATAGTGTAGAAATGTACTGCTCTGTGATATGTTTAGTGTTGTGTTATATGTCATTATATTCAGTATTGTGTGTGTCTTTACTGTGACTGTATTTAGAACATTCTTCTGCCTATTCTTGTTTATCCCTACATGGTCATGTCTTTCACACCTGCCACTTGTCATGTATAGGCTGAGCCTAATCTTGGCATCAGTCCAGCTATAAAACTAGTGTCAGCCCGGTGTCTTATGGGCTGGCTAGGTGTCTGGTACCTATGCGTGCAAACGAATAACACTTCACTTCTCCAGACATCAGGCTGGTTCCCCTGGTACAGTTAGGGTTTGGATTCTTCATTAACAATAAAGTCGATAATGTAAAATATTAAATATCTCTTCTTTTTGCTGTTGTCAATGAAATATCTGTACTGAGGTCATGGATTATTTGTTGAGCTCCACTCTAAAATGTCTAGAAGCAGAACCCTAAAAAATAAAAACAAACTACATCACAGCGCAACTGCAATCTGTTGTTCAAACGTGGAGAAAAAAAGATCTAAAGAGGTTTATTTTCCAGTGTCTGTTAAACCATCCAGACTGGTTGCCACATCATACCTTTGTGGCCGCTTCACTACAGCGAAACATTTGGCTAGTATTTTAAATGGCTGCCCTTAACCACACATGTAGACATATTCAGAACTGTTTAATCAAAAAAATGATCTCATTATGTATTTAAACAATGCAAAAAGTGCTACAAAATAGTGTAACTGGAGTACACTTCCACATATGAACAACAGTGCACTGCTCAATTACTAGTGCATTTTGGTGTTAGTGCAACTTAATGCAGTATAGAGAAAGCCAAGAGCACATTATGCTAATACTGGTGATAATGCTTTACAGCTTTTCTCTGTGAAATCAGTCAGAATAAATAAATATAATAATTTCAACATGAACAATAAGTTTACTACATTTACTTAACTCAAATTTCATTCCAACAAAAGACACTAAATGTTCAGGTTGCACTGCAGTAGAAGAACATGAATATTTCCATTCTCATAAAGTTTGTATAATCACAGCACAGTAACTTCAATAAGGTTTAACTATTAAATCTGTAATGTATTTAAACTTACCTTATGAGCTTCCTGTGAATACTGAGATGTGCTTTTCACTTCAGCATAATTCAGCTTAACATACAGATAAACTAGACACAAAAAAAACAGAATAATATATTACAGAGGTGCAGCAAACTGTATCACGAACAAAACCACAAATAATGAAAGGCAGTTGGTGTAGCAAATCGAGAAGATGCATTTCTTGCCTTGTTGTTTTGTCTTCTTTTTCCAGAACCACACACTTAATATTGACAGAGCAGCAATCAGTCCAGCTGGTGTCAGAACAGCAGCCAATGATTTGGAGGGATCTCTCTTAACATTCTGACCTGAGACTGTTAAACAATATCTGCTGCAGTTACTTAGTGAAATGTGTAAAAATTGCAATTATGCTAACTTGCTTTGCAAGATAGCAAAGACAAACATTTCTGTGTTAATCCTAAATACTTAGCAGGTGTATCTGCATCAGTACAGATCAGAGTGACTAATGAAGTTTTCTTAGTTGCTTCTTTGTGTAACCAACTCTGACTAAAATATTAACCATTCAGTTATCAGTAAACAACACACAAAATCAAAGTGTTAATGATTTTATTACTTACCAGCTTTAATACAGATGTTTGTAATGTTCATCTGGGTTGTCCAATTGCTGACCGGATTAGCAGCTACACAGGTGTAAGTAGAATAGTCTGGGCTGGTTATATTCAGAGGAAGATAAAGACGTTCACTGGAATCTGAGCTACTGATGCTGGAGATTCTCTCTTTCTCTTCATACCAGGACAAATTCACATCCTTCCCATTCTCCACAGAGCACAGAGGAGAACACGACTCTCTGAGACTCACTGAGCGCTTTTCAGAGTCATCTCTTATGATAGGCTTTGATACTGGAGCTATGAAACATAAAAATTAAACAACAAAACTCCTGTTCACACTAATTGTGTATGAGATCCTCCAGCATAAAGTACTTTGTGCAGTTCTGGTTAGGTAACATATAAGCAGCATGATTCCTTTTATAATAGTTGTAAACTTCACACACATATTGAGCCTATCAATGTCCACATCTGATATTGTACCTTTGTAGTCTGAAATGTTAAATCTTTGGTTCAAATATTCTCTGAGCTTGATTAAATGTAAATCTGAAAAAAAATTCTTAAATCAATCAAACTTTATTGGTACAAAATGTATCACTTTATTACTAATCTTTTGTTCACACTATTGATTTTTAACAAAGCAATATAAAATTCAAATATGTCTGTGAATAAAATTATGAAAATGAGACTTAATGAAAAACAGTTACACTTCAGTTTGAGACTCCACTGTAGAGTCAAACGGTTGCTCTTTCTCATGTCTACTGAGCGAAGAACAGTGAGCTTTTACATTCTAATGTGTAGTTCAACCTTTCCAACTGTAGCTAGAGTACTGTCTAAAATCTGAGCCCAGTTCTACTTGTTCATGTTCTACCTCATTCTACAGCAACCACAAAGGTGAAAATATATTTACTCACCGTAGACATTAACACTGAAACTCCAGACTGAGGATATTCCAGTAATGATATTTAATTTATAAACTCCAGAATCGTCTCTGCTGATGTTTGTGATGGTTAAAGATCCACTGTTTCTGTTCAGCTGCAGTCTGTCTCTGAATCTCTCACTGTAATAGTCTGTAATAATCTCTCCTCTAATAATCTGACTGTTCACTATCCTTATTTCTATACTTTCAGATCTATAAAACCACAGTATGTGAGCATCACTCTGAACTCCAGTTAATCCAGTATGGATGGTTACAGTGTTTCCCTCCAGCTCCTGCAGTCTGACAACCTCTTCTCCAGCTGAGCACAGCAGACCTGAAACAGTGTACATAGATCATATTAGCCTAGACACTCACATACAGAAGTCATGACAGTTCATTTCCGAAGTGACGGACTAAATCAGGTCTTTTCTGTAACACCTTTCAAATTTGAGCCACAATTAGTAGAAGATTACTTGCCTTATGTCTACTATGAAAGAAGTACACTGATCGATCTCTGCAGTTTTCTTAAGTTTATAAAATGTGTACATGTTGTATTTATACTATTAAATACTTTTTTAAATACATTCATTTTTGCATTTGTGAAATCTTTGTGGTGTTTATTTATTTATTTTTTGTTCTTTTTTGCCCTTTTATTACTATTTGAGTACTGCCTATAAGTCACGTGCCAGCTAATTTTAAATTCACTACACGGCACTGATGAACTGCATTCAGTAACACATGGTTGCACTTCTTGCTTTACAAAATCTGTCACATCAGACATAATACTGAATAATTTGCCTGAAAAAATTATGAAAAAATCTTAATTGTATGATCCAGAAATTTCTCTTTTGGCTTATGAGAATTCCTCTCAATATAGACCCACTGACCACTGTTAGTAACTACATTTCAGTTCAGCACTCGTCTACCTGATCCTGCTATTCTTCCTTTCATCCCGCCATCATCCTGAACAACCCCACTGAGCTCAATATAGTTTAAACATTCAAGCTTCATAAAACACACTTTATGTGCAGATCCATCACTGATATGACTGTATTTCACACTGATAGACCATCATCTAATACAGATACACCTACTTTCAGTTCTGCTCTACTGTATAAAACACATCAACACTCACAGTGACACTGTTTTCTATTAAACACAGAGCAGTAACAGTAAAGACAATGTCTATCAGTGTTCAGACAGGACTGACCGCACTGTAAGTTCAGAGCTCCTCATTTTCCTGGAATAGTTTCAGTAAAGCAGACTTACAGTAAAGCAGGCAGATAACTTGAACAGTCTCGAATATCGTGAACATTTTAATGTGTCATTTTAAACAACAAGCTACATCAGCTAACTCCGGTAAATCTTCTGCTCAGCTTCCTAGAAGAATAAAGTGCTGATGCGCATGTGCTGGGGTGGGCAGGGCATGTCCATGCCTATGCTGCACTGCGTAAAGACTTGTGTTAAACAATATAGCTAGATTACAATGGAGAGTTATAAAGTATGTCCTGTATTCAACTTTCTAACAATAAACAAAGAAAAAAATACAATAAAATTTCTCAGTTTGAACATTTGATGTCTTTGTACTATTTTTATTTAAATATAGGGATTACACGATTTGTACCTCGTATATATATATATTTTATGATGTCATATTTAGGTCCACTGATCATTATAATGAATAGCTGCCAGTGGCACAGCTGCTTCATAGTTTCTATTTATGGCTGCAGTTTTAAACTTACATCAAAAAAGTGATCTCCTTAAATGTTTAAAGAACTGAAGAACTTCACTTTCATTGTCCTGATATAAGTTTTAGATACACTGAGGCCTCATTTTAAGCTGAAACCCACCACTTCCGTTTTAATGTGTGAGTCTGGGGGAGCTGCTGACTGCTGTCACTGTGACTAAAGTGCACCAACCACAGACATAAAGCACTATGTAAAAAGTAAAAGACCACCTCTCATTCATTTTCCTGTCAACCCAGCCATTAAGTACAAAGTTATTCATCTTTCAAGAGATATAAAATAAGTGAAAAATGATTAAAAGATGCAGAGAAATTAGGGCCTCTAAAAAGAGCTGGTAAATCACCAAAATTGTCCCCATCAGATAAACAGCACTTAACGCTTTCATCTTTGAGAGAAAGGAGAAAATCAAGCTCCACTTTTGCTTCAGATCTGAAAAACTGCACAGGTTTTTCTGTCCATCCTTCCACTATGAAAAGATGTTACACATGAGTGTCTAAAATGAGAAAGATATTTTGTCTGTCAGTGTGGCCGAATATGGGCTAATCATATGTGGTGAATGTAATTTGGTAGACTACATTACATTACTAACTTATTTGTTAGGCTGTGTTTTTTTAATCAGAAAGGTTTTAAGACTTCTTTATTTAAAACACGATGCTGTGTTTGATTTCATGGGTCATGTCCGTGATTTAAGATTGGGTTTAGTTAATCATCAACTAATAAGAGTCAGTTTTTTCTTTTGTAATCTAATAGGCTGCTGAGACTTATAATAGAAAATGAACATTGTGTGGTTTGATTATTCATCCATCACTCATTCAGTGTCTGTTGTTCTTTCCACAGAGTTCAGCAGTCTGACATCTGAAATGAACAGGTGAGTGAAATTATTAATAGGGAAAATTAGCTATTAATTTTATAAATACATTATCTGGGAAATCCCGAGATACTGAAATAGACGTTTCTATTTTAGGTGTTTTTGTGATGAATTAGTTCTTAGATGCAAACTATCAGGATGATGTACTGCTCTTCATGTTACTTGCCCGTCAGTCTTTATTTGCATTTAATTCTCCTAAAAAAAGAAAAACACAAAACAGAATGCTGCTTCTGCTGTTTTACTGTCAAGTTTCTTATTTGTAATGGTTTCCTCTAGAACAGTGTTTCCCAACCTGGTCCTTAGGGCCCCCCCAGATGGTCCACATTTTGTTGTGGTAAGTGTAACAAGTTGAAAACCAACCAACAGGTCCGTTACACTAGTCAAACAATGAGCAGGCCTACATTACCTAATCAACCAACCTGTAGACCTACATGTCAAGCAGCTAATTCAGCCCTGGACTCTCGGGGTGATTTAGTGGGACAATGCCCCACTAGCCAGTCATCAAACTCATTATTTTTTATACAAGCTTTATACAGACAGGAACAAACCAAAAAAAAACAAAACAAACACACTGCTCTCTGCCTCTGCTTGTAGCACGGGCCCAATATGCTGCACCTACCCTCACTCATTTGAGGTTTTGGCGCTGGGCCTGAGCTACACTATTATGAACGTTTTCAAAACAACTCAATGGGTCACAGTTTGTGATTCTTATCTAAATATGCTAAAGTGCCATCAATACAGAAAACTAAACAGTCTACCCAAATTGGCTGTTGTACACTTATGTTCAATATGTTCTACCGTGCCCTTCTTAGTCAGCATGTGTGATAATGTCCAGGCCTGGAACTTCTGAGTCGAGAATCAGGGGGATTGCTATGTAAAGAATTACTGCATTAGAAATCCAAAAAAGTACAGAGGATAAGATTTAACTCTCAAATTAACTCTCAATTTTGTTCATTCATTTTTCTGGTTGAAATAGATTTTGTGACTGTAGGGTCAGAGGCCCCTGAGCTTCAGCCCAAAAAAGCCTGTATGTTGATCCGTCTGTGGCTGAAGTCGTGTCGTTCTCCCCCATTACATACATATCAACTCTCACAGACGTTAAAAAGATTTTTTTTATTAATTGTATTTATTTGGTTAGTATCATGAGCTGTTATTACTCTTTTTACAAATGTTGCTGTACTGAACCACTGCATGAGCTTAGTTATTTGATCTTTATAGATTCTTATAGTTAACCTAATGATGTAACCTGTTGATAGTGGAATAACACAAACACTCGTTTTCAAATACACAGAGCTTTATTCAACATCCAACATTTCCCTGGGATTTCCAAATGCCCAAATAGTGATCCACTGAGGCCTCAGGCACCTCACAGCCTGCAAACAGGGGCTCCAACTACTTATTTGAATTTCAGCAATGTTTGTGTAAAAATTTAGGAACCGTAGTTTAAAGGGGTTTTATTAAAGCATTTCATCAGCCTGTCAGCCTGTTGGTGGCAAACACTCAATATCTGCTTAATATCTGCATAAAAAGGGTTTAGTGTCATCTGCTGACGCAAAATTACATTTATTACAAATCGGAAGTCAGGGCAGAGCTACATGCTTCATTTTATTTAAAATACCCCTTTTTAGCCTTTTTCTTAATGGGAAGTTGTAAGGGGGCTATACGGGAGCCCACAAGTCCTTACTGACTTTTATCTTTTTAGTATTTAAGATAATGATTGATTTGCTTATCAATGGTAAAACAGTTTACCGTGAAACAGATTTTGAACAGCAGAGAATGTTGTTATTGTAAAACTGTAAAGGTATAAAATTGTTGAAGATTATTTGCCTACAATAATAATAATAATAATAGAGCAGATCTCTGTGTTAAAATAAACGCATGAGATTAACAAAAAAGCTCTGCCTTGACTAATCTTATCAACTGCTTCTTCCTTCTCCACTGAAATGAGCCACAGGAGGTTTAAGTATTTCTCAATGTTGCTATTTGTTTTTCATGATTTTGTCCTTACAGACTTTAATGTTGCTAGTCTAAAGTAACTATGAAAATGTGAAGACATTGGTGCTTGATTAAAGGAGCTTCCAACAAGTCTAGGTAGATACAACTCTGCCCCAAAGCTTGGAGCAACAGGCTCACATTACATGAGCTTTTAACGTAAAATACATTTTTTTTGTTTCTTTTTTTATTTATTTTTTTGCAGGTACTAATACTGTTTCACCTCTCACGATATCTGCATCAGTAAAAGTAGGACAGTCAGATCATTAAGCAAACACAAGGCTAAAAGACGTCATTTTACAGGCTTACAAAAGTCTACACTGGTTGTCTTTTCATTCAAAAATTCATAGCCTTATGGACACAGCTTAGGTACAGAAATGGAGTAAATGTTTAGAACTTGAACAAGCGGTCACTGTTACAATTTACAGGATAAAGCAATCAACAAAAAATCATTTTTTTTTAATGTGAAAATGGACAAACTGATGCTAAAATACAGATCTAGGTGCATCCAAGGTGCGAAATACAGTCCGGGACCCCGAAATAACCTCTTGGACCCCCTGAATGTCTCAAAATCTAAATTTTGGGGCTCCCTGAAAATAAACTTATTTTGACTTTATGCTGTCCATTAGGGTGAAATAGAAACTCCAATACAAATTCATTAAAAGCTTATTGTTTAGCCTGTTTCACTCACTATCAGCGAGCTTCTGTCCTTGGTATTCTTAACTTATTAGTGCTGCAGCACTGGTCTGCCTTAGAGTGGGCTGTAGCACACTGGTTCACCCAGGTGGTCTTTCATAGCCTAAACACTGTAACTATTCCTGGGGTCCCTCTTTAAAAAAGCCTTACAATGTGTTGTAGCATATTTGCAAATTGACAATGTGACCACTGGAGGAAACTATGAATTGTTACTCATTTCTCAAACCAAAGACAGAAAAGCAAATGTGTAAGATCTGAGTTAATGTGTTGAAGAGCTCAGTACTAAACTAGAAAAGAGCTTTTCCAGAAGAAGAATTTTTAAACCAAACATTTTGTTGCCACTGAAGTTAGCATCAGTGCCACTATTAGTGAATGAGTTAGCAGCTAGCCACGCTGGAGTAGCTAGCCAACATGGAACCCCCCGCATACCAGGAGTCTTTCACACACTGGTTACATCCCTTTAGCTGAGTACACCACCAACGTGCACTGGTCTTCTGCCACTCTGATGCTGTTTTTCTGTAAACACAGCAGATTATTTCCGTTAAAAAATAAATTAATAAATAAAAAACAGTAACATAACTCTAATAACAGCCTACTGATAAGGCATAATAAAAAATTATCTTGTTTTGCTTCTGAACCTTTTGCTTTGTTTTGTTTTTAAACTTAAAATGGCTGTAACTTCTGAAAGAAAACCTGGAGTACCTAAATGTAATACTTTTATAGGGACAACTCAATTACAGGCTTATTACATACTAAGGCTTATTATTCAATAACTTCAGGGACTTCAGTGCAAACTGGCTGAGACATTCTTAGTTTATACAAGTGTGTAATAGAACTTCCTGCCCCCCTGGCCAATTAAGGGATTAAATTCTGCACATTTCTCCTTGGATTACTCTGGAATCTGTTGTGGTCATCACCTACTATCAGTGCCTCACCTTCATTGCCACACTCACCTTTGGTTTGACAACAATTATAAATTATTTTGTGTCTAAGATTTTCAAAGCAATTAAAGAAAGAGTGCATTTGGTATAGGTTTCTATGTGAACTTCAGCTAAAAGACGTCTGAGGAGTTTCTGGACATTATTGATATGTGGGCTCCGTACAATTATACATTATTTACAGTATTTGTAAATGCAGTGACAAATTGTGCCTGAAAAATCAAATTGACACCTGAAAAAGGTTTTTAAAATTTTCCCAAGCCCATGTGGTTATAATCATTACAGAAGTATGTGTTGAGAAACATTGCTCTTAAACTCTTGGTCTATTGGCTCATGCAAAGTGGTGACTGAGCCTTTTGGGAAACCATTATAGCATCACCTGCTACCTACTCATTTGTTCACCTGTGGAATCTTGAAAATAGGTGTCATACATTGCCGCTGATCCAAGGTTTTTGGAAAAGTGATGCAGGCATCAAATTTGAAACTTATTTTATTATTTTTTGTAAATATACAAGTTCACTGTGTAAAATATTAAATATGTCTTGCTTGTGCTGTTATCAATTAAATACCTGGACAAGACAGTTTTACTGTTCACTACTTTCTGTTTTTGTTGCAGTTTTTCACAGCTTTATGTAAATGTAGCTCTGCATTTCTACTGGTGTGCTCTGCCTGGTCCAACTTGTTCCAATTTACTGTAGTAAAGTCATGGAATATTTATTGGCTCCACTCTAAACTGTCTAGAAGCAGAACTCTAATAAAAAAATAAATAAATAACAACAGTAAACTACATCACAGTGCTTCTGCATTCTGTTGTTCAAATGTGGTGAGAAAAGATCTAAAGTGGTTTATGTTCCAGTGTCCGTTAAACCACCCAGACTGGTTTCCACATCACACTTTTGTGGCCGATTCACTAAAACAAAATGTTTGGCTTGTATTTTAAATGGCTGCCCTCCACCACACATGCAGACATAGTTGGAACTGTTTAATCAACAGAAATTCAATCTTGTTATGCATTTATACAATACAAAAGAGCTACAAAACAGTGTAGCTACACTACAGTTCCACATATGAAAAAAAAAACAAAAAAAAAACTGCTCAATTACTGTATTGAAGCTGTTTGGTATTAAGCCAAGAACAATCATTTAGAAAGTCAAGAACAAATTACGCTTAGAAATGCTGTTTGCTGTAATATCAGTCAGAGTAGATAAATATGACATGATATAATAAATTTAACATGAAAAAACGTACTTTATTTAACTTAAATTCCACTCCAGATGAAGACACGAATGTTCAGTTTGCAGCGCAGTAGAAATGTTTCCATGGTTTTAGAGAATGTATATTCACAGCACAGTAACTTCAATAAGGTTTAACTGTTAAATCTGTAATGCATATTAACTTACCTTATGAGCTTCCTCTGAATACTGAGATGTACTTTTCACTTCAGCATAATTCAGCTTTGCATGCTGATAAACTAGACACAAAAAAACAATAATATATTACAGAAGTGCAGCAAACTGTATCACATACAAAATAAAAATACAAATACAAAATACAAAACCAATAATGAAAGGCAGCTGATGAAGCAAATTGAGATGTATTTCTTGCCTTGTTGATTTGTCTTCTTTTTCCAGATCCACACAAATAAAATTAATAGAGCAACAATCAGTCCAACAGATGTGAGAACAGCAGCCAGTGATTTGGAGAGATCTCTAGGAACTTTTGTACCTGAGAGTGTTAAAAAAGTATCCTTTGCAGTTAATTAGTCAAATAAGTAAACTAATATACTAATTACTATAATAATAGTAATAAGTAAACTAATATGCTAATTACTATAATAATAGTAATAATTTTATGTTAACTTACAAAATAGCAAAGACAAACATGTCTGAGAAACTAGTTTTATTAGTTGCTTCTTTGTGTAACCAACTCTGACTAGAATATTCGTCTTTTAGTTAACAATAAACAGCACAAAAAAATCACGTTAACGTACCTGATTTATAGCAGATGTTTGTAATATCGAGCTGGGTTGTCTGACTGCTAACTGGATTATCAGCTACACAAGTGTAAGTAGAACAGTTTGGGTTGGTTATATTCAGAGGAAGATAAAGACGTTCACTGGAATCTGAGCTACTGATGCTGGAGATTCTCTCTTTCTCTTCATACCAGGACAAACTCACATCCTTCCCATTCTCCACAGAGCACAGAGGAGAACACGACTCTCTGAGACTCACTGAGCGCTTTTCAGATTGATTTCCTATTATTGGTTTTGATACTGGAGCTATGAAACACAAAATAAAACAAAACAGATAAGAGATAAATCATTAAAAAGTTATGTACAGCACTACAACCACCAACGAAAATAACAATATGAAAGAGTATTATTAATTCCAAACAGTACAAACACCTCAAAGTCCTGTGTTGTGTTTGTTTGGCCCATTTGGCTGCTGTGGAGAAGATTCTCTGTTTGATCTTAAGTTGAAACTCAGGTTTCAGCACATATGATATCTACTGTATTTCATAAACAGCACATGCTAAAAAATCTAATGTTTGGCCTGTCTGACTGCTATGCAGAAGATTCCGTGCCTGATCTCAAGCAAAACCGAGATTTAGCATGTCTGATTTTTTTCCCCATATGTTCTCTGAGCTTGATTAAGCATAAATCTAAAGAAATCAATCAAACTGTATTGGTAAAAATGTAATCACTTTATTTATAATATTAAATCTAGTCTTTTGTTCACACAGCCATACTGTTAAAAAAAGAAGTCCGCTGTAGATGCTTTGAAGATGCTCACCTTGCCATTTCTATTACTGCGTCAAATCATTGCCACGTCTACTGAGCCAAGAACAGAGCTAAATATATAAGTTGAATGCATCACACAGCCTTTTCAACTGTAGCTAGGGTACTGCCTACAGTCTAAGCCCAGTTCTTCTTGTTCATTTACTATGACATTTTACAGGTGAAAATATAATATTTACTCACCATAGACATCAACACTGAAACTCCAGACTGAGGACATTCCAGTAATGATGTGTAATTTATAAACTCCAGAATCTTCTCTGCTGATGTTTGTGATGGTTAAAGATCCACTGGTTCTGTTCAGCTGCAGTCTGTCTCTGAATCTCTCACTGGGATATTCTGTATTAGTCTCCCCTTTAAACACCAGACTGATCACTATCTTTGTATCTAAATTCTCAGATCTATAGAACCACAGTATGTGAGCATCACTCTGAACTCCAGTTAGTCCAGTATGGATGGTTACAGTGTTTCCCTCCAGCTCCTGCAGTCTGACAACCTCTTCTCCAGCTGAGCACAGCAGACCTGAAACAATGTAAGTATATAATATTAGTCTATATACACTCACATACAGAAGAGATTCAATATCAGTTCATTTCTGAAGCCACTATCTCAGAGGAAAAGACATCTTTAACTAGATAGACCTACTTTCAGTTCTCCTCTTTTCCATAAAAACACATCAACACTCACATTGACACTATTTTCTATTAAACACAGAGCAGTAACAGTAAAGACGATCTCTATCAGTGTTCAGTCCGGACTGACCGCACTGTAAATTCAGAGCTCCTTATTTTCCTGGAAGAGTTTGAGGAAAACAGACTTACAGTAAAGCAGGTGAAGCAGAGCTGGATGAATCCTGTATTCTGAGAACATCTTAACCAGCCATTCTAATCAACCAGCTTCAACTAACTCTTCAACTCCATCGTCAGTTTTCTTCTCAACTTCATAGAAAAGAACAGAGCTGATGTGCTTGTGCTGGGCTGGGCATGCAAATGATGCACTGCATGAAGTGTTAAAACAGCTGTTATAAAGACAAACAACTGTTTTAGCATCTTACAATCAACTGAAATTATTAAATAACATGGTTTGATGATTTTCTAAGTGATAATTTGAGGTCCTTTACAAAGAACATGTGTCTGCACATTTAAATGCACAATTACTGTTTATTTTTTAACATACTGGCAGACAAAAAAACATTAAATGTGGCCTGTGTAAAAGTTGTTGTCCCTGTTTTATTTTTTTAATGTTTAACATAAATATTTTTATTATTTAAAATGTATAAAATATTGTACTTAATATATAATATTTTATATTATCTGTAATCAATTCTTCATTACAATAAATCAGATATGCTGGTGATGGAATTTAATAAATATATACAATGGCAGAAAGAACACAGGAACCAAATGTGTTCTTCAAAGTGCATTCTCCAAACCAAAAAAAAAGAAACTTCTTACTGTTTGCTGCAATTTTGTATATTTGTATCTATTTTTTTATTATAGTAGTATTTTTACAAGCATAATTACAGTCATTGCCACAGAAAATAGTGTTAAACAATTTTCATGGCTGTCTGAGACTTTGAACAGTACTCTGTGTATGTATATTATATTAATGTCATATATGGATTTTTCTTTAAATAATTAACTTTCTAAAATGGTTACACTTCATATTTGACTAATGTTCAACAACAGTTTAAAACACTTTATGATGAAAGTAATAAAATAAATAAAAGCAGCAGGAGAACAGCAGTAACTGTTTGTTAATTGTAAGTTGTAAATTGTTTTGTAAAAACGCAATTAATCAAATAGCATGCACAAATACCGCTGTCACAAATTATACTCCAGTACAGACAAAATGTTTCCCTTGATTAGCTGAACTTCAATAGATCAGGGACGATAACCTCTTTTAGTGTATTCTGAAGAACATCACTTTCACTGACCTGATGTAAAAGTTTTAGATGCGATACGCTGAGGCCTCATTTTAAGCTGAAACCCACCACTTCCGTTTTAATGAGTGAGTCTGGCGGGGGCGCTGACTGCTGTCACTGTGGTTAGAGTGCACCAACCACAGACTGGGCAAAAGTCAAAGATCATCCTTTCTTTATTTAATTTCCAGTTAAAACAGCCGTTTAGTGCAAGTTATTCTTTTTTCAGAAGTTATTTCTGCGAAGATTAGATAATCCACAGGCAGGACAGTCAGTGGACAACAAGTACACAACGAGATTCAAAAATAATGCATTTCAAGCTCTCCTCTTAAATCACATATGGAATTATGTTGTTACCAAAAAAGTAAAAGTGTACTCTTAGATTCTTCACTCTTGTTTTCTATTTTTATAATCTTAATTCTTGTTTTCAGTCTCTGTGAGCTGGCCTTTCTCTAGATGTATAGATATGTGTAAGCAAACATTTGCATTAGACTCATCATGTCTTGTTCTGAGTAAACAGGAAGGCGACTAGCGCTGTCGCCTCACAGAAAAAAGGGCCTGGGTTCGATTCCCGGCCGGGATGACCGGGGTCCTTTCTGTGTGGAGTTTGCATGTTCTCCCTGTGTCTGCGTGGGTTTCCTCCCACAGTCCATGTATGCCTGTCTGTCTGCCCTGCGATGGACTGGCAACCTGTCCAGGGTGTATCCTGCCTTCTGCCCGATGACAGCTGGGATAGGCTTCAGCACCCCACCGCGACCCAGAATGTATGAACATGAGCCTCAATAGAAGAGAAAAGACTCAAAGTAAATCTGATCTTGTTTGTACAAAGACCTAAACGTGTCACAGACTTGATTAAATTTGAATAGCGACCTACACAGGCCTCCTAAAAAGGGGGAAAGCTTTCAGGGCCCCTGGATTATATCCAATATGTTCGTATGTTCTACGGTGCACTTCATAGTCAGCATGTGTGATAATGTCCAGGCCTGAAACTTCTGAACTGAGAGGCAGGGTGTTCCCTTTAAAAAATGTAAGGAATTACTGCATTAGACAGCCAAAGAATTATGGAGGAGACGACTGACATGTTTTAACTCAACACGACTTTTTTACTGTCTGGATTTATTCATTCATATTTGTGTTTGAAATAGAGGTTGTGACTGTTGGGGCCCCTTCAAGGTCAGAGGCCCCAGAGCTTCAGCCCACATAAGCCTAGTTGTTGATCTGCCTGCGGCTGAAGTCGTGTCGTTCTCCCTCAGTTAAACACTCAACAACTCTCAAAGACATTAAAGAGATTGTTTATTAATGTTATTTATTTGCTTAGTGTGATGAGCTATTATTTTATAATTACAAATGTTGCTATACTGAGCCACTGCATGATCTCTGATACTTGATCTTTATAGATTCTGCATGTTTACCTGGTGATGTAACATTTCATCAATCTGTCAGTCTGGTCTGTTTTAAACGCTCATCTGGATTGATTTTTATCCCTAACAGCTCAAAGTTCATGATTATGTGAAATGGTGGCTTGGTACAAATACTGATAGTTTATTATTTAATGGATTAAGCCCATTGTTAGAATTATAAATTACCAAAATGCACTGCATTCTTCATCCACAAGATGGCACCATTTCACAGCTTTTGTCAATGGGAAGAAACAGACATGGGTGGAATAACCACACACACACACACACACACACGACACCGGCCTATCTGCATCACTACCACAGCAGCAAGATCAACATACTTCAGCGCTCAAGCCGGAACCCAAATATCCCAAACACGTTTTAACTGATTAATTTATGACAAAAAATAAAACCTGAAATACAGACTACATGTAGATCTAAGCAGCAAACATCAGCTCCATTACAAGTAAATGGCCAAGACACGCTCAGTATTTTGTTGCAATAGTGTAAACACTGCTTACTGCTGCTCTCTTAGGTGATGTTTCTATGCAGATAGCAGACCTGGATTACAACAATGTGGTTGGGTCAAGGGAATCTTTAGAGGTTCATGGATGGGGGGGCTAAGCCTGTGCTAGGTGGTTCGGGGGGTATAGTTCCCAAAGAAATTCTTTTTAACGGCTCAAAAATGTTTATAATGCACTTTTAGAATAGCGACAGCCAGAAAATGTCAAGTACATCAGCCGTGTTAAGTAGATCAAAAATGGTTATTTAGTCACATTGGCACACAGTAGATCTGTCTTTTCACAGTTTGCATTGAGTGCAGAGCTAATGTAACAAACACTATGTCCACCCACTTACAACAGGCAGAGATCAAGCAAAGATAAGTCAAACAATGCTCTCTCCTTTCTCTTAGATAAGCTGCACGATCCTAAATACTGTATTCAAACACAGATTTTACATCAGTTCAGTCTCGGCTGGTGCCATCAGAAAGAATGTGATCTCGCTTCGAAGGGCATGTTTAATAAGCCAGGTGACAGAATTTCATGGTCACTGTGACAAATATTATATTGTCTCAGTTAAGTTAGATTAAATTCTGTTTTAAGTTTGACTGAAAGCTTAAACAACTGTCCCTCGCTTTCTTCATGATCACTCACCTCCATCAGATCTGCTCCTTCAGTCCTGTCAGTCTCCTTCAGCTTCTTTTTCTCCTTCTTTTTAACTAAAAATCTCATCTGAACGGCCTCTGACAGAGCTGCAGCCTCTTAATTTCCATCCACAAGTTGAGGAATTGAGGGATATAAACTGTGTTATGATGACCTTTTTTCACACAAAGCTGAAGAGAAGTCAGCATCTCGTTTGAATTTTCCACCTTAAATGCTGCGGCAGTTTCATTCTGGCACCTGGCAAAATTCAAATTCAGGGTGAATTCAAACAACAATCTGGAGAACAGGAAGCCAAATTGAGCCCCGTCCTTCACTGACATCAGCTTATACTGTAAACATCCATACATAGCAAATACTGGTATCATTGTTTCCAAACACTAAAGAGAAATAACAAAAAAGACTATAAAGAGCTGTCAGCCATGTTATTTCTATCTCTCTCGTTTCTTTACACTCACTCTCACTATGAAGTTAAACCAGAGAGTCTGTGGGTTAAACTGGTTAGCTGGTCAGCTAGTCAGTGTTAGCCTGACCCAAAGTTAACTCAAGTCAGCTGGAGTTAACAAGCAAACAAGTAAAAAAACACAGATATCCAGCTATACTGACCATAATTTGCCACAAATCCTTATTGTAGGTGGACATATTCACGGTTTAACACTGTTTCACTCTGTATATTACAGATTTTGAATGAGGTCTAATGTTTATTCTAGTGAGCTTTAAGCTAAAACCCCGTCTTCAGCTCGGTTACCGGTCACTTTGCGGTGCATAAACAGAGCCCCTCCCCCAGGTCTGATCTAATTGGCCTACAACGAGTGAGGGATAATCTGATTGGCTGAACGTTACGTTAGTCAATCTCTGGAAGCACCGAAGAGGCAGCGCTGCATCAGAGCAGCAGCAGCGCCTCCTCCAGGTCGCGCCCTGCTATTACAGTCTATTGTAACTGACCATTAACTATAGATGATTGGTACTAGTAATGCACATTTACTTGGGAAGGGGGACTAAATAACATTTGGCGGGGATAGGTGGGCTAATTGGGTAAAACCATTGAATCAATCTCTGATGTTGGATTTGAACTGACCTTGCTCATTGCTTTGGCCATTGATTCAAAGCTGGAAAATCAACTACGCTGAGCACTGAGCCAACATTGACTCAACAGCTCTCACTGAGGGCTGAACAGATGTTAACTGTTAGTACGATGCTGATTTAATGCTGAAACAAATGTTTATGACACACATTTTCTAAACTGCTTATCCTTCTGGGTCATGGGTGGGAGCTGGAGCCTATCCCAGCGGTCATTAGGCGGAGGGCAGGATACACCCTGGACAGGTAGCCAGTCCATCGCAGTAAATTCAGTGCAGTGTTTATAAAACATAATTAACTTATAATTATAGGCATAGGCTCCAGCTCCTCCCACGACCCAGAAGGATAAGCAGCTTAGAAAAAGTGTGTGTGTAATTATAGGCATTTAG